GAAGATAAGTTACCTCCACTTCAATGGCGATTGGGACGAATTATCAACACACATCCAGGCACCGATGGAATCGTTCGCGTGGTTTCGATAAAAACAATTAGTGGAATCGTGAAGCGTCCCGTGGTAAAGGTGTGTGCGTTACCAATAGATTATGAAAACAGTGATGACGCGAATTAATAGATAAAAAATCTATCAATTGTGGGGCGGGATGTTAAACAACAGCCTTTTGCTTTATTGAGGGGTCGGTTAGAACTCGTGTCGGCAGGGTGTCGATATTGTCACCTTCTAAGAAAAAGCTACATCTGGGAGTAGTTTAAAATCAAATAAGGGTGACAAGCATAGAAAAATAAGTTTTTAAAGACAGTTCCTGTTGAGAGGTCACATCAAACACATTGTATAAGTTAGCCATTAGTTTTCAGTAGTTAAGAGAGTTAAATTGTAATTGTTAAAGTGTAAATAATAAACTAAGTTAAAGCAGTTCACAGTTTTAGTCAATCATTTTTAAGATATATTTCAATCAAACATACGAGACAAAGCCAGCAGTGCTTAAGTTAAAGGCACCACTATTTAGCATATTTTTTTTGCTAAACATACAACAGGGTATTTCACCCTTTATTTATTTTATTATAGTCTGTGTTGCTTGGTGTTACCTACTATGTAGCACGTGGCAGTAATACTAGTAGACGACAGTATAATGAAGAAATTTAATAAATATTAATACAGAAAATTAGTAAAAATTTAATTCAATCGCTAACTATCTCAATTGAAAGTGTTTTAAGTCAATAAAACTAAAGTTATCCATATGGTAATACCAAATTTGTGATTTTTGCTAAGAAGAAAGGGAATACACTTGAATTCTTATTCCGACAATATACATATGAACCGATACTGTTTTGACTCAATTTGTCAATAAACATATGATTCCAAATACTATTTTTATTCATCCTTATTTAGTGTGTAGCTAATATTTGGCAATCCGGAGAAAAAGCCCCTAAATAAGTAAATAAAAACCGAAAGAATAATACAATATACAATTCATTTTTCATTGTTTGACTTCTCATTCTCCCAGATGTATTGTTGAATTTCTTTTGTTTATTTTCCTCTGTATTTGCGTTATAACGCACGTATCTAACTGCGGCACTAACAACGAGGACTAATGATCGCGATCGCTGTTTTTTCTCTCATTTTTCGGTTTGCTCTCCAGGTAAATAGCAGTCGGCCGTTTTGCCATTACGAGAACGAGGACTCATTTCCATAAAACTATCATCAGAGAGAGTGTGTGTGTGATAAATTAGGTGCCGCTGTTAAAGGATACGTTCGTGTATGAAACAAATGACAACGATAAGCGAAAATTTTTGGTCGCGTTGCATGACAACACTCCCATTTCAGTTTTTACGATATGACTGACTGATTTTGTATGATTTTAGCATTTATATCCTTTCTGTAATTTGTTAGATTGTTCCAAGGCATCAATGTACCCTAGACAAACGGATCGAAACAATCCGCATCTCCTTCTGTTACACATCGATTGGCGTAATGTTATTCCTTTTTCTTTATTAGTGTCCGCTGCAATTCCTACCTGACATCTATTTTTACGATATTTGCTGCAACGTCTGCCGTGAATAAAAGTAGGCGTTCTGTTAGTAACCACTCTAGTCTGGTAAATAAGTTGAAAGAAGATAAATGCGACAGTTTTATTGCGGACTATGTCAATTTTCAACGTCTAAACTATAGTAGATTTGGTTCCGGTTTACTTAGCAGGTCGTTGTCTATCTGAAGAAGAAAGCGAAACGTAAAAGGACGTATATAGACGACGTGGCGACCAGCTCGGAAGCCTATCTTCACTACATAGTATAAAACAAAGTAGCTTTCCCGCTGTATGTATGCTTAAATCTTTAAAACTACGCAACGGATTTTGATGCGGTTTTTTTTAAAAGATAGAGTGATTCAAGAGGAAGGTTTATATGTATAATACATGCATAATATAGTAGGGAAACACTGATAATTTTAGAGGTTTCTAATGTGATGTCGTAAATAAACACATTTTTTGCGCTTACATTGCAAACGCTGGCTGAACCCTACGAGATAGATCAAAATAATGTACTACAATATTGTACATCTTAAAAGGGTCTACAAAAAAGTCCGGGATGGTATATGTCTATCTCTTAGGGATAACCCACAATAACCATTTTTATCCTTTACTTTTTATGAGAAATAATGACTTATTTACGAAGCGATTGTAGGCAATACAGCATTAATTCTTATCCAATTAACTTTTAAATACATTTTGAATTTAATATAGATCAATATGGCCTTTACAACATGTAATTTAAATGAATATTTTCGAAGATATTACAGATTTAAAATGCAGGGACATAGCGGTTGCGGCGGTACCGGTTTGTATTGTATAATGACAAAAACACTGTGAATGTTGTATATAAAGACATTCTGTAGTATATTTACTATGTTCAGGGGGTATCTTTTGAAGATTTCCGCTTTTCGATAATAATCTAAACAAAACAAAAATATATTTAGTATCAGCATTGCACCCGTGCAAAGCTGGGGCGGGTCACTAGTTATTAGAATAAAAGGGTGCTTCGATTCAAATTAAACAACTCATCAATTTCTAACCAAAACTCTCATCAAATGATAATAAATTGATTGAACACAACTGTTGATTGAGTATTACCTTCTATATTACGCTAAAGTAGAGCCCTACACTATTTCCAATTTACTGCTTAATGCGTATCACTTAACTTGTTAGCTTCTTTAACTATTCCTTAATATAATCCATTTATCGATCAATAATTCTCAAATAATTTCTTGTGCCAACATTAAGTATTTTGTCCTTAAAAGTTTTTTTGTTCTAATCAAATTATTGGTTTTCTTTTACCTTCTTTACCGAACGTTTTCCTTGTTTTCAGATGTGTACAGGAACGGGCGACTGAGACGGAGCTATGGATCTGGAAAGGGTGGAACAAAATACTTCGAAAATTTACTCGAAAAGAATTCCGTGTTTGCCACAGAAAACTCCACAGTTGTCTACGCCCAACGCGGTGGTACAGCAACACTACCTTGTGTAATAAGAAAAAATGGAAATGGAATGGTAAGTCGCCTTTCTGTTTTTATTCCTAGTAATAATTCAAAATTTTTGACTTAGTAGATCAAATTGTTGAGAGAAACAAAGAAATTTGTTTGTCTTTATAAAATAAAACAAAGTGTAAAATATTATCTATAAACCAAAATTTAAAAAATAAGGAGGTTGTTAGAAAGAATAACATTTAAAATATGACTTCAAAGAGTTGGTTACCGTATTTTCTTATAATTGAATTAAATTCACCAAAACGTCTGCAAAGTTTGAAGTTCGTGTAGAAAACGATTCTTTGGGGATCACAATTTTTACCTCAAAATTAAAAAGTGAAAATAAAGTGGTAAGGGTGGCAAGTTGCGATGTTTTTTATACTAAATGTCTTTCATCTGCCTCTTTTTCATTTGTATTTAATTATAAGTGAAAACAAACGAATGATGAGAGAAAAAATGAGAAAAAAATTTTTTAGCAAAAAAGAATTGAATAGGTAGTGGAGTATATATAGATATAGATAAATAAAGGGAAGCAATAACAAATCTTATTTGTAGTAGTTTGGTATGCACTTGATATCGAAAATACGTAGAGAGATTGAGTATTTAAACTTATGAACGGGTTTGTAGACTATGTGGGTCATGAGGGGAGAGGGTGGCCCACTAGTTATGCTACAAAGATGCAATAGTGATGCAAATAAAAGTGAAATCATAAGTCGTCTGAAGAAACTGGATTTCCGGATTCTAATCACATCTTCTTAATCAAATCTCCATGACGGATAATGGTGGTCGTCGTTTCGTCTCCTATCACAAGGAATCTTCAGGAACTTTACGTAATCAATGCAGGATCTTGAACGCCGGTGCTGAATTATTCCTGGATCGACAACATGGAGTTCTTGAACATGTCCATTGTGGTAGAAGACGAAACGACGAACATTTTTGGCGCCATCATCGTCCGTCATAGAGGTTTCATTAAGAAGATGCGGTTAGAATCCGGAAATCCATTTTTTTTTAGTAAAATTTATGAGGAAACTTGTCAGTGTTTTAAATTGGTAGATGCAAATATGAAAGAGAAAGCAGAGAAAATATACTTTATTAAATTATATATTGACCGTTCTGGTCCAACACCTTTTGCCATCTTTCTGGTAGTAGCATAATTCCACGCTCATAAAATTTTTGGTCTTTGCTGGCAAAAAACTGATCGAGGAGGTTTTTGACCTCCTTATTTGAGGTGAAGGTTTTACCGTCTAAAACATTTTGGAGTGACCGGAACAAATAATAATCCGATGGTGCCAGGTCTGGAGAATATGGTGGGTGTAGCATTGTATCCCATTCAAGCTGTAAAAGCTTTTGGCGAGTGACCAAACTTGTGAGAGCTCTCGCGTTGTCTTGGTAAAACACTACACCTTTCCTGTTGATTAGTTCTGACCTTTTCTGTTGAAGTGCATCATTCAGTTTGTCCAGCTGATGACAGTAGACTTCCGAATTAATCGTTGAGTTATCCGGTAAAAGCTCAAAAAAAACGATCCCTTTAAAATTCCACCAAACAGACAGCAACAACTGTTTTTGGTGAATATCGGCTTTGGAAATGGTTTGAGCCGGTTCATCTTTTTTGCTCCATGACCTCTTGCGTTTGACGTTCTTGTATACAACCATTTTTCGTCCCCAGTGATGATGGGCTTCAAAAACGGATCATTTTCGTGACGTTTGAGAAGCGAATCGGAGACGTCAATGCGGCGACATAGATTTCTCTCTGTGAGAACATGGGGAACCCATACATCGAGCTTCGAGGATAATCCCAGGCCTTTCAAGTGGTCATAAACTGTTGAATTTGATAAATTTAACCTCCATCCGATCTTACGTGTTGTTATTCGCCGGTTCACATCAACCAATGCCTTTATCGTGTCTTTATCATCTTCAACCGGCCTTCCCGAACGTGGTGCATCTTCGACATCAAAATTGCCGGATCGAAATTTAGCGAACCAGTTCTGGCACTGGCGTACTGTCAACACACCTTCTCTATACACATCAGTCAATTTCTTTCTGTAGTAACACAGTAAGATATGTCGAAAATGCTGCTTATCGCTCTCCATATTTAAAAGGGCACTAACCAAAAACTACTGCGTAGAATTAATTGGAATTTTTCACACACAATGAGCTCTCAAAGCATATAAAAATTATACGGCTTAAATGTGGGTGCAAAAGAATACAATTAAATCCTCTGTCGGGAAAAAACGAAATGACTTTCCGAACAACCCTATATAATATGAGTAGAATATCAGGGTGAGAAACAGAGATAATTATGTTATTATTCATACGAAAATGTTGAAACTTTCGGTACACTTTTTCGATAATTATCATAAATATTAAATCCTTTGAAACGTAGGTACTCTGAAGTAAATATACTCATAAAATACAAACCCCAGCTAAATGGAACCATCTGTGAAGGTTTATCGATAACCCCCTCCCCTCTCTTCTCCAATTCTCTGGCAGTATAATTCCACGATAAAATCTTCAATTTAGAAATCAGAAACTATTCTGACCACGTAGCGATTAACTTCCCACTCCGGTTACGTCTCGTCGAAACTAACTTAATATCGAAGTTCGTATAAAGTGGCTTGATGGTTGCAGCAAAGAGTTGAGGCAAATATTAAACTTTCGAAAAGTCTCACGAAATTAGTTGGTCAGAGATGCTTCAGCTACTCTTTAGGTTAAGTTGTTTTTACCCCGAGAGCGAAACTTTTCTTGTATCTACCTATCAGAACGGAGCGCTGTCATCCTCACTGCTCTACAGAAGAAAATTTCCTGTCCCTCGTCAGTCATACGTCCGTCATATCAATATACAGGTTACTTAACGTTCACTGATAATACACGTCGGATTATTTTCATTTTATTGTGTGTACTTACAGATATAATCAAAATGTCTTGAAAAACGACTCCAAAAACTTTACTTTTTAGATAAACCTAAAGATATTTCTATGTGTAAAAGATCGGAATCAAAATAGGTTCATCATTATCATAAGGTCATCAATCCTAACAATGGTTGGACACACACCTCCACTCCTTCCTATCCTCAGCTAATCTTCGAATTTCCCTAAAACTAGAACATCCTACATCCCTAACTATTTGCGAACAGTAATCTAATCTAGGTCTACCTCTACCCCTCCTAACTCCCGTTTCTGCCTCTAATATATCTCTGACCAGACCTTCATACCTGAGAAGGTGTCGTATACTTCCTTTACTTTCTCTAGCGATGTGCCCCTTCCAATTTCTTGGATGTGCGTTGGCAAAATCGTAGGTAGGGAGAAAAAAGCTCATTATACTCTCGACTTTTTTTCATTAAACATACTTTTTCATACAGTACCTGTCAAAAGTTTTGTTCAATCATGAATAGTAGTGCGAGTCGAAAACACGCCTTAAAGCCTTTAATATGTCTTCAAATATAAATAAACATCTCATTGATATTTTAAGTAGTAATTTGTACCAATAACAGCACATTTGAGTAATGCAATTGTAGTGGATAAAATGGTCAATTTTTCCGTGCAGTATTGTACGGATTATACGCTCCTCACCGGTTAAGAGTTTGACCGAGAGTTGTCTCCTTTCTTTTCTGGCCTAGTGCTGTTCTTTTCTACTTTGTGCCGGTCAAACTGAAGGTCACATCGCTACAGAAACTAAACGAAGTACACGAGGGTGACCTAAAAATGTCACTCTACAAGACTATTGGTTTTATTCTTTATTTAATAAAATGTAATATGTATCCACATAGTCGGTAGTGTTATCTAACTCTGAGTTTTCTAGAGGTTATGACTTCCTAAAAATTCACTTCCATGTCTTTTTTCCACAAGAGTTACTTGCTGCTAATGGTCTAATATTTAATAGACAATGATACCAATGCAGAGTAAAATAGTGATGAGAAAAGCAAGATTAAAACCCAGTCTTGGTATTATTCTTCATTTTGCTTATTTGTTCTTGATCTTGGTCTTGCGTAAATGCTTGTAGTCTCGATCTTGGTCTTGTTCTTGGTCTTGTGTGTTCAGTCTTGATCTTTCTCATTTAATGTTATACATTTTTTTTTTTAATAATTCTAAGCACATGTGTAAATACTTTGCAAAGAAACTTTAGCAGCGCTTAATTCAGGATCGTAAAAACTCGTTATTCAAGGGCTTATAGCAGTAGCTCGTGGTTTTATTAGTTCGTTACAGTTTATTATAGGTAGATACATATAGGTACCTACATCCATCGAGCGCTATCGAGAAAACAGAAACTCCGTGGAAAAATATTTTCATCCGCAGCGCTCAATAAGAAAAATATTATTTTTTCCACGCCGGTTGATTTAGTTTTCCCGAACGAACATTGGGGATTCCCACTACCTAATACGTAACCGGCCAAACCAAGCCAAACCAACCGTTAAATGTTTGAAGGAGATAAGGCAGTCATTCGCCTGTGTACCTCGGTGTGTATAATGCATGAATTAATGACTTGTGCCTGGCGCATTTTTCCCTATCGTTTTTCATTCATATAATCGCTTTTATTGTTATAATGGAAAACGGAAAATAATCGCCTTTCGAAACTTTATTTCAACCGCCCGCAAACGCCAGCGCCGCTCAGCAAAAAACCTCTATCAATAATAATTTTAATTTGATCGAAAGGTAAAACAGCGTCGTCAAGCTTTATATGCCCCAGCCGTTATTGCAAACAAAAATAAAAGCGTCTTCTATCGTGTAATGTACCATTTGTGTTATTATAGGCGATATTCTAAATACATATGCTTTTATACTAACTTATTAAACATGTAAGCACCTAATGAAAGGGAGTTACCAGAATCAGGTGACAGGAATGTCAGGAAAAGAGATTCAGGATCAAAAACCAAGTCTGCAATCTATGATGTCAAATTAGTACAAAAAAATATTAAGTAAAGCATAATAAAAGATAGTTTGCTTAGATTTGCAGATGATATAGCAGTATTAGCATCTAGCAAGGAGGAGTTAGGGATAGTCTTAAATGAAGTGGAAGCGGTACTGACAA